GTCTATTGCATGACAATGCCCGACCCCACGTTGCCCGTGACACAAAAGCACTCTTGGAAAAGTTTGGTTGGGATGTGATCTCCCATCCCCCTTATAGTCCAGATCTTGCCCCGTCCGACTACCATTTGTTCTTGAACTTAAAGAAACATTTGGGAGGGAAACGGTTAGAGACAGATGAAGAAGTGAAGACAGAAGTCACCCAATACCTAAATAAGGAGCTGGCGGCGAGTTTCTATGAGGCTGGCATACAAAAACTTCCAGAGCGCCTTGAAAAATGCATCCAAGTAAATGGCGATTATGTGGAAAAATAATTCATAAGTACTGTATATATAACCATGTAAAAAATATTTTGAATAAAGCTTATTTCGATTATTATAATTATGGAGACCTTACTTTTGGGACACGCCTCGTATGTTTGATGTTATATTTTTGTACTTATGTTTTTTAGTTGTTTGGTTATTTGAATGTTTGTAGGGCCACTTATAATATTATTAAAAACTTATTAAGAATACATGTTTTATTTTATTTAAACAAAACGTGTTAAGTAATTTATATAGATTATCAAATTAATAATGTAATTGACGCATTTAGACATTTAGTACATTAGACTATTATAAATAGATTTTAATGCTTTGTTATTGATTAAAAATTATTTACGACTAAAAAAAATTAATTTCTAGTTTTTCGCTCTTTAAATTATCAACATTGCGAACCGATAGGATTTCCGATTTTGTAGAACTCACTGCTGGTTCATTTTAATCGTTTTATTGGTAACCGGTTAGTTATTTGGAAACTTTATTAGTTTTAGTATAGGTATATTGTAATTTGTAGGTAACTATATACACAATATACATATTATGTACGTATATCTATTTTCATGACATTGCTTAATATTTACAAAAAGGTTGTCCATTATAGAACACCTAATAAATAGTTGGGTAACAGTCGTTGCGTTGGTACATTATATTCTAATATAAACACACAACACACTAAGAATAACATAGTGTGCATCAGTCACTCGTTAATTTTTCTAGTGGCCTTAAAAACATTTTGTTAGGTTAGTAATTTTTTTGTCTTGGAAGGTACCTACTGATGTAGTATACCTTCTAGTAATTCATATAATACAAATATTTAGAAACAATGGTATAATATATAAAGAAAAGGTATGTAAATATTATAGTTTATATAGTATGTATATATCTCACGTGTGGTTCAAAATATGTCGAAGATGCCAAGATGAGTCAATACGATTAAGGTAGGTATCTATACCGTTATACCATGTAGTGAATGTCAATAATTACAAGTTAAATAACTATTAAAAATACAAAAACCTTTTGTACTTTTAATTTTTAAATATTCTTAATACAATGTTGACCTTGGATTGGAAGAATTAAAATAATGTTTGTATTAAATTGATGAGTCGCGAGTAAATCACATTTCATTGATAATAATTGTAGTAGTTATGATAATTAATTAATTACAAGTATACTTATCCGTTGAATTAATAACGCGTATAAGTGTTCTGATTTGAAATTTATTGATAGTTAAATCTAATTAAAAAAAAACAATTTTAAATATCGTTGAAAAGATTTTATTATATTTTGATTGGATTAATTTACTTCTATGATAGTAAAAGTGGTTGTCAGAATAAATCGACTAAATATTCTATTTTTTTATATCTTTCAGATTATTTTGAAGTGATAAATGTATGTGAAAATACTTGGAAATTTAATACAAGATGATAATCATTAGTATTTTTGTTTTTAAAATTAAAAAAAAAATCTTAGCGTTAGGCAAAATACATTTTTTAGCGTTTGAAATTCAAATTTTGATGATATTAGATATATTGCGTATAATAGTGATTTATTCTCAAAAGATTTTAAATTTTAAGTGGATTGATTTTACAATTTTTTTTTTGTCTTTTACTACCTTTTGGAGCAGTAAAAATGCTTAGGATTTTGCTTAAGCATATTTTCTGGTAGAAAAGTGAATCTAGTTGGTAATTTTGGGGGTGGGGGGGGATTTAAAAGTAAAAACTCATAATAGATTTACTAAGTATTAGGAAATTGAACAAACATTTTTAGAGAAAAAATATAACCGTTGATACATTAATTACACCAAGTATTAATAATAGTATTTGATATTCACCATACAATTTTCAAAATATATCAACTATTTTTGGGTGAAATTATTCTGATTTTAATTAGTTTCTTATAATAACTATTGTCGATAAAAAATTTTCATTTGTTCAAATAATATTGAAAATTGAAAGATTTCCAATGAGTTTTCCAAAATTTAGCAAACAAACTTAGTAGAGAGCCAATTTAATTTTTATGAGCGTTTGAATTTAGTTATTGGATTCTCATAAAATCTTATTTTAGTGTTATTTTGTTGTAATTCAAAATATTATTGGGTATTTGAAATTAGTAGAGTACCTATATTATTATATTTTGTACACACAATGTCATTATAAATGCATTTTTTCGGGAAAAATTAATTTAACTTACTGTAATACTAATGTCTAATAGTAAAATAAATATATACTTTTTAATGCTAACAAACCGTCTTCGCTTTTCATGTACAATGATTTTTAAAACATTGAAATCAAATTTAACACGTATATTACAATGACTCTATAGTTTCTAAAAATACCTAATCTGTACAACAGAGCATTACCTAACCCGTTTTTTATCTTATATTATTAAAAAAATATTGATTGTATATAATAGTTTAGTAAATCTTCCACTATTAATTATATATTATCAGTTTTTACCCCGGTTTTTACGCATTTTGCAATGCCATTGTGGATTCTGAATTTCCATTGAACTTAATATTACATTATTATGTTCAAAGGAATGTCCAAATTTTATATTGTTCTGTTTGTCAAAAATCCATAGAACAATTAAACATAAATTTTAGCTAATATTTATGTAACCTAACTTATAAGGGGAAAAAGTACTAAAATATGAAGTGAAAATCCAAACAAATTGTTTTTTTTTTCATTTTCGTCTTCCTAAGTTTAAAAAAATGAAATTAATATTTATGATTTAACAACGAGTTTTGTGAAACATCTATCAACGCCATTAATATGGTCAATGGTGTGCCATTAAAACATTTTCAAAAACTAGCCTAAAATCATTTTTAGAAAAGTAAACTTGTTAATCATTGATGCCTCATGAAAGCACGCGAAGAAATATAATTTGTTATATTATATTCAATCAATTTACGAGGAACACAATTAGCAAAAATTATGAATGAAAAATTAACTACAATAATTCCGATTTTTGTTGGATGTAAAACTTTCTCCTTCGGACATAGTTAATATCAAATAATCTCCAATAACAGCGATTGAATTGGTTGAAGTTGAAAAATYGTTCAATCGATATAAATCAGTTTTACGTGCAAAATAGATCAACAATTTTTTTTCCTGGCGACATGTTTTTACACGTGACAAAACAGTGTAATATACTGTTTTCAAATATAATTTTTTAATGTAAGTAACCCACACATAGATTAATAAACATTATGGCGTTTTCCATCTGACCAAATCTGATTGTACTAATGCACACTGGTGTACACCCGCGGTCGACACCGTGAATTTTCGCGGTGTGGAAAATTATAGGATACTGTGATTATGGTATCAGTGTTCGCATGTAGTGTGCACTAGTGCAGTCGGAGGGAAAACGCTATTAGTGTATTGCATATTATCTTGAGTTTATTATCACTTATTAATTGTAAATATATTTTGACATAATAGTATCGTGCAAATAAGATACATTCAACTCAGAGTAATTTAGCTGACAGATAGCGGTTTATTATGATAATTCTTTTGTTGATGATTGACAATATTGCATTTTATTTGACATAGCTCATACTATTATCACGTGTAATGGCGCTACAATACTTATGCTGTCTCACCACACGAGCTCCAAAGATGGAGCTGTGAGGAGGTGGTGGGCATGGGGTAAGAGGTCGGTGAGGAAGTGGTGTCGGTGGCTGCGGTCGCCAAGTTCAAGGTTTGCGAGTTAATGCGCACGCGTGCGCACACACACACACACACACACACACACACACACACACACGACGTGATCCGGGGGGCAGTTTAGCCATCCCCGAACCACCCGCGACGTGAGCGAGACGACCGGAGAGAGTCGACTACAACGCCGCCCGATGACCGATATCGGGGTGGGGGGCGCGTCACAAGAACCGTAGCCAGGGCCAGTGACCTATCGGGTGCGAGACAAACAGAATTTTTATTTTATCGTTCCGTCGTCGAGCGCTGCYGCCGCCGCCGCCTCCGTTTCAGTTGTCGCCGTCGCACCGTCGTCGTCGTCGCTCACGTCGCTTACGTCGCCCCTCACATCATAATCGTGCACCGTGCAGTGATCGCCGTATACAGACACGCGCCAGTCGCCGCACACCATCAATCGCTCGAGCACGTGTGCGCACGTCCGACGCGATTCAAAGAGGGCATAAGCGGCGGGCGTGGATTCAACCGACTCAACGGAAAATAATTGGTAAGTCCAAATGTTTTTTTTTAAATATTATGATAATTATTATTCATAGGTAATATAATTAATACCTATAGTTAATATTATTACCTAATATAGTTCAAGCGAAAACCGGACATTTTATTTTTTAATTTGTTATAAATAATGGGCCTATGTAAAAGGTGCGCACGTTAGGTTTTTATTTTTAATTAATTTATTATCTATCAACATTTATGTATTTGAAAAATTAAAATTTATTTTTGATACATAATTTATGTTTACTCTAAAAATTGAAATACTAAATAAATGTTCAATTTTATTGGCTGGTATCCGGTGCATGAGGTTTTTTTAAATCGATACGATCCAAAATTACGAAAAATTGTGTTTAAAATACTAAATGTATCGAAACACCGTACACACACCGACACACCTATTATATTGCATTTAGGTAAAAACAACGGATACGTTCAAGACAGCTAGTATATATGAATAGTACCTAATATATTAGTACAGAAATTATTCCAYTACTAAAATCACCCCTTACTGATTTTATATTTATTGTACAATGTGCTATCTGGTAAAATTGTCTGTTGTTTGCAAATTAAAATATAGTTCATCATTATATGATACCATTACATCATATATATATATATATATACCACATACCAATGGTATGATACCATATACATAATATGCAAAATGAATCGAAAAGGCGCGAAATTTTTATCCACCAAAGTATCTTAGAGTAGAAATAAAAAGGTAATTTTCTTAAATCGATCTTCTATGGTTTGGTATTAAACATTGTGCAGTTTTCATATGCTGCATTAATCTGTAGCAAYAGGTGGTCAGGTAGATGGGTAAGACGATATAGGTAGGTTGGTAGAGCCATGAATCGTTTGCTCGTCGCTATTGTTCATTTCGACCTTTATTATGCGATTGTGTTATCGTCATATTTTTAGAGGAGGCATACCTAGTTCGTTTGCGGCRTACCCATCACTATGTGTTGTGGTAAACAATTGAATGAACGTCTTGAACACCTCGAGATCACGAGATAATGGGAGATTTTTTCTAGGGCAATTGAGTACTGAATTATTTTTCATGATTTCTGTATGAGCCAAATTAGATTAAATTTACCTTTACGAACTAGTAATAATAATAATTTAGATAGATAATCCAAGAACGTATTGACAGAATTTCAAAAAATCCTCAAACGTAGGTAYTATACTGGCTACTTAAATATATGGGAATATGAGTTCACTACAGTTTAATACCCGGGTATTATAATATAATTATAATAGGCCTATTAGATTATTATCCTAATTAAGTGATATTATATTAAAGTGGAATTCTGGATATACATTAACATTTATAAAGTTATTAAAAATTAAAAATATTGATACTAAGATATTCAATTTATGTAAAATGTATATCTATACTATGAGACTGTTAGATTGTGAAGTATGTAAGTATGTTGTGAAATGCGACACTTTAATTATTGTTACGCTAATTTGTTGTATCTACCGGTAGGTAATAATATTGTAATACTATCATATTGAGCTAACCGGGAATACAATTTTACTTTAATTATATGTAAAAGACCTAACACAAGTCTTATAATTTTTCATTTTGAGAAATCATATTATGGAAAAGTTATTTTATTGGAGTAGGCATATATTTGAAGGGGTATTTTTTGATTTAAATAACGACTAACATTTAAAACAATTTTAACTAATAATATTTTGAACACAAGAATAWTTCTTTAAAAAAATTCCATATTTTGTAAAATCTTGAATTTTTATTATTTTATAATTTTTATTATTTGTTTGTATATTATAGGTAAATTTAATAATTATTTTATAGGTCAACACCAAATTATATTGTACAATTGTAGTTAAACATGGACAGTTAAATACCATGTTATAATAATTGATAATCATTACTTTTGAGAAAAAATGTTTTTTTATATACCTTATCACCTAATTAACCACTTACCTATTTAAAATATAATCACGATGGGTAAATCAAAATAAAATATWACTATAATCTTAAAATTAAACTAAAATAAAAATATTGTTATTACTTTAACATTCATTAGTGGTTCATTAGTGGTCAATAAATTATTTATATCGTTTGCATTTCCTTTAGACTGGACAACAAGTCCATCAAGGCTAAATATTTCGCCAGGTCTTTTCCATAGTTTGACACTATGGGCAATTTCTTTTGGTAGGCATTCATGGCCAGCGGGGTGTTTAAAAACAGGTTGCTAAAAATAATCGCATTTGATTATATGATTATTATTTTTTTAACACTTAATTAATTGTTAATCCATAATACATACATCGTTATATTCCTCCCAATTTTCAGTGTTAATGAAATCATTTGACCATGCATTCCACGGCGGTAAGAACATAGAATCATTATAAGTCATTATGATTTAGGATCGATAACTGTTTTACATAAACATAATTTTTAAACACAAAATAAAATACAGTAACACAAATACATTACCATGGTGAGATATTTAGTATTCCGTTTTGTATTTATAAAAAATTTGAAATTTATTATTTTCTTTCATATTATTGTCTGTAAAAGTATTATATTTTTGCTTTTCCTTAAATACTGTGAAAACTAATTTTTCTCTCTTGACTTCTATAAGTAATAATATACTTACAAATAAGTACAAATTTTAATATTTCGCTAATACAAACATTTAAACGGATATTTGGTTGAATTTTTTTTTTATCGGGAAAGAGTGGAATGATTAGCATTATCAAAAATTCAATTCTTATAGATTGYGATTTGCATAATCTATGGATGTATATACATTTYCATCGACCATCAGGGAATGGGCTATTGAAATTTCTGAAGGGCTGAGGCTTCTAAAGCTCTTTTCCCTCCTTTGTTCACCTATGAATACAGTAATAATAAAATTGACACATTTCGTTAAAATGGATTTATAAGGCCTGTAGCCTACAAATGCACGGTCACTATACGTTTGTAGATTATGTTACATTAAAATATAATTAGAGAAAATTATACACATATTATTTTACAGTTAAAAATTAAACGGTATATTTTAGATAAACTC